AGCTTGTAAAAACTGAAAAAAATGGAAACGACATAAATGACTACTTACAAAGAATCAATAGGACATATACTCATGTGATGAGACAACATTTTGTAATATTAGCTGTTCTGGGTGGCTGTTACTTGTATTTTCTTTTCATCTGGTGTATTGCGTGCCTTGCTTCAGGGGACAAATGGCATAGCCGAATGCAAATGACAAACGAGTAGAGAGTGTTTGACTTTTGGGTTTCAAAAGCCTTGACCCTGGTATTTAAGAAGCTTATGCACTGAATAAAAGAAACTTACCTATTTTGCCCCAGAGATAAAAATTCCCTGGCTTGGGAGAAGGGAAGGCCTTAGAAGGCAGCCTGGATGTGTACTAGAAGGGAGCCTTCCTTTTAAGGCTGGATCCAGGCATGGGAAATGACCTAATATATGTTATTTTGCTGAGTGTGAGAGAAAAAAAAAATTGCTTCTTAGGGAGATGTCTGCAAATGATCGGAAACACTGCTCCTTTGAGTTTTGACAGACCTCACATGGCACTGAAAGAGTAAAGGAGGGATAGCTATGACGTGGAATGAAAAATGGGGCTGGGAGAGCTTGTAAGATCTTCCTGAAACCGCAGCATGGCAGAGTAATCCCTGTGTCTGAGAGTGACATAGACACATCAGGGAAAACCAAGGATCACAGGGGCTGGAGTGGGAGCCACGAGTGATCACCAGAGATCTCCATGGAGCAGTGACTGAGGGCCAGATGGGACAATACACATCTCAGGCCCCGTCAGCATGGAAAGACAGCCAAGGACAAGATGCCACACTCGTGCCCCATGACCTCTGTCCTACCTAAGCCTCATGGAATTCAGATAAATTCCATGCAGGAAAACCATGAATTAGAAAAGATATGGTTTTGACTACTCAGGGGAATAAAATCCTGAGTCAAAATTAAGTTGAATTAATGAAAATAAAGATATCTGAAGGACTTCCTTCCCTGAGTTAGTGGAATGAGATGCATATCACTCACCATGGAGTGATATGCATCTGGAAAATAATGAGGCAAGTAAATATGCTCCAGTGTGAAAGAGCTGCAGGATAAGTTTTAAATTAAAAAGGCAAGGGGAAGAACAATTTGAATAGTGTGCATTCTATTTGCATAAAAATGTTATATGCTCTAAATGGTCCAAAGGTATAGTAGAAACATTTATCTGTGATTTCCTCCAGAGACAGGCTTTTTACTTTATACCATTTTAGCAAGATTTCTTTTAAACCAAGAACATGTATTAATTTTATAATGCATAATGAATACCATTTCCCCCCTTATGCCATTTAGCGATCCATTGCACCGAATCGGAATTACATTTATGTAGCATTTATTTCCATAATTTTAATATAAAGAATGGAAATGTGTCTGATATCTTTTGATTTTGGCATAGAGCCGCCAAAGAGGATTCGCTTGGTTCTCTTTTTCAGTGACAAAGGGTGTTGCCATGAGCCTTTGAGGAGAATTCCCCTCTCCTCCTCATTTCAGTAAAAGTGGACATTTAACTTTTCTCATCCAAAGCCACAAAAACTTCCCTAAAAATGTGTCGATTACCAGAATAAGGACATATGATTTGAAGAACTGGACAAAGACACACACTTTCACACACCCAAGCATTTGGTCATACATGCAGGTGCTGGTCACTGAACATGTCACCAGAACTTACATATGCAGGTGAGAGTGGCTCCCTTCAAAGACATCTTACAGTTATTCTAAGACACCAAAAACACTTAGTAAGCCATTTTTGGGGAATTGCTTTGAGTTTATGGCACATTCTTTTGAATGTCCTTACATATGTCAGTAATCCCCACTGGAGTGTGGATTTAAATTTTAATAGCAGCTAAAGGCCCTTTAGAGTCAAGTGTGGTGAATTAGACAATCACTCAATTTAGGTAATAAATTTACAGTAAAAATGTGATGTGACTATAAAATAACACGATTGTTTTACACACTCTGAAGGAAACAGTGTCCGTTCCTCAGCATCACTTGAAGAACTGCACTGCCTTCCTAACAGGAGCTTTAGAACAGTAATTGTGATGAATAAATCTTAGCCTTTCTGTAATGGCTTATAGTAGTGTTTTATATACCATGTTTGTAAATATGAAACTATAAGATTTTAAAAACCAATTTAGTGGTTTAATCAGTATTAAAATACAGAAAAGAAAATATCAGAGTGTATCATATGCGGTAAGGCAATAATTATATAATCACACTTTTTTTTGTTATGTTTTTAGCCAGACATTCATTGTTCAGTAAAAATTTATTGAGCACCTATTATATGTTAGGCCATGGTTCTAGACCACAGTCTTGCCATTGTTGACATTTTGGGCCATATAATCCTTTACTGTATGTTTGGGGAGGAGGCGGCTGTCCTGTGCATTGCAGGATGTTCAGAAGCATCGTTGGTGTAATAATTTGAATTGTGTCAGCCCCACTCCCAATTTCATATATTGAAGTCCTAACCTCTAGTATCTCAGAAAGTGACTGTATTTGGAGACAGGATCTTTGTAGATATAATTAAGTTAGAATGAAGTCATTGGGATGGGCTCTAATCCAATAAGACTGGTGTCTTTCTAAGAAGAGGAGATTAGGACACAGGCACAGAGGAAAGATCTTGAGAAGACACAGGAAGAAGATGGGTATATACAAGTCAAAGACAAGAAGAAACCAGCTCTGCTGGCGCCCTGGTCTTGGGCTTCTAGTCTCCAGAATTGTGAAAACTAAATTTCTGAGGTACTTTGTTATGGCAGGCCTACTTAGTTTCACCTACTAGATGACAGTTGAACCCATTCCTCAGTTGTGACAAACAAAAGTCACTCTAGACATTGCCAAAGTTCTTTAGAGGGCAAAATCACCCCTGGTTGAGAGCCACCACATTAGATGTATATGGTTTTACTAATAACAGTGTAAACGTGAATTTATTTTTGGTATTGCTGTCAAACAGTCTGAAAATCCCACCTGTCGGTCCCACCATAACACTCTGGTGAAAAGCTATTGGGTTATAGATATGCCAAGGTATTGATCCTTCAGCCCACAGAGCATGGAGAGACGGAACCCATAGGCCTGTCACCTCTGGCCATGAGCCAGCTGTTCCAAAGTACTACACAAATACAATTTTTGTGTATGCCGTCATGTGAAAAATGTTTGGTAATGCTAACTTCCAATGTTCTCTCCACTCTTGAGATGGGCAAACTGGACCAACTTCATTGAATGATCATTTGCTATTGTTAGTGGTGGAGCCTAGAGTAAGAACTCAGGAAGCCTGATCCCAATTCAGGGATTTACCATTACAACTTTGGTTTTTGAGAGGTTGTTTCTTGAGGTTAAAAAAACCCATGAACATTTTACAAGGATGGTGTTTTAAACTGAGTTCTCCAAAAAGCAAGGCCTGAAACAAAATTTATATGCTAATGCTGTACTGGGTAATGATATTTTTTTATTGAAATTTATGCCTTATGTTAAAAGAAAACAAAAAACGCAACCTCTCTTTCCTCTTTAATCCTAACAGACAATATAAGGGCTATTTTTATATTCTAGTCGGTAATAAAAACCTTTGCTTCCACAATGTTCACTACACTAGCTTGTAGAAAAGGCTTGATCGAAGACTCTCACATGCCATGTGGGTCGGGACAAAAGCCTGCTGCATTCCCTCTTGTAACCCCAATACAGTGCTTGCGTTGAGTAGACATTCAACAAACATTCAAGAAATAATATTTAGTCATAGTCTGTGTCCACATGATAGACTTAATCAGACTGATCAATATTTTAAAATATATTTTACCTGGCTTCCCTAATTGTTATAAAGCAGTGAGGACACCTCTTCTAAGCCTTTTTTACTGTTGAAGAAATTGAGTCTAGAAACACAGAGTCTAGGAAACCTGGCCAAAGTCCACGAATGCTGCAGAGATCCCAACCAGTGGCTCCCCCACTCAAGGGGACTAGGACTTGGCCATTTTCATTATTAACAGGAAAGGGCAACTCAGCTACCTGTTACTAGGGAGACATGGCCCTTGTTCCCACACTGGGGCTTGGCCCGGAAAAGAGAATAACCTACCACATAAACGAGTTCAGGCGTTTGTGATCTCTCTCTCCCTCTCTCTCCCCCTCTCTCCTTCTCTCTCTCTCTCAGCACTATTGCGCTGTTATTATTTTCACTATCTTTACACCACCTGTTTGCCTTAATACATTCAAATGTCTGTTATATTTATTACTACAGTGCCTAGTACTTGGTAGGTGCTCGATCAATTGCTAATAGGGAGGGAAACAAAAATAAGTGTTGTTACAGCACCCCCATGAGTCTCACTTGTTCCATATACTGGTTATATCTATGGAGGATGCTCAGGGTTGGCTTCCCACTCAGTACAGGAGGCACAGGGCTGAGGAACCATGAGGATGTTTCAATTTATTTTTAAATTAGAAGAAAAAAATGCACATAATCCTGCTTGGACGATGTTCATTTTTATGCCAACATAGTCCTAAAATACAATTTTTAATATGATTTTTCAAGAGAAAGGGACCATTAAGGCAACACTGCCTAAGGCCACGACAGTCAGGATGTGGCCCTGAGCTCTCCTGGGTGCTTTAGGACCCAATGTGACAAAGCTAAGAAGTGCTCTGATGTCACAGAAACCCATAGACAGGAACACAGAGCTCAAAATGTGTCCCCAGCAGTTGGAAAAAGTGAGCCTATGTCTCGCTTCCTTCTGAGAAATATACTAGACTACTAAATGGTGGAGAAGGTAAAGCCGATAATGGAAACTTTGGGTGACCTGTTCTCTTATAATTTGTTGGGGAAAAGATTCACAAACTTCTCCCAGGGGCTACTCACGGGCTGCATATAAGGGAGCTGCCACAGGGTCCTCGTAGGTTTGGCCTTACGGGGTTTTCCTGGAGTGTCCAGGGGGCCTCCGCAGAAGGGACTCCCCGGGTCCTGAGCAGGCGTAGAAGGTGTGCAGGGCCAGCTGAGGCAGGGACACGTGCGGCAAGGCAAGGAGAGCCAGGCGAGTGGACCCCACAGCGGGGGTGGGAGCATCTCCCTGAAGGGGAAATCTTCCAGGCTGAAAGACAGTGAAGCCCATATGCAATAGTGTCAGTCAGCGAAGAGCTTTCCTGTTCCACTGACCTCCCTCATTCCTGCAGAGAGCTGTGAGCAAGGGTGGGAGGCCAGGACAAAGGGAAAGAGCAACCTCCCTGCGGCCCACCCTGTGCAGGCGTCTGACCTGCATCAGGCCCTGGCTGGGGCAAGGAAAAGAATTAACCTGTATGAAGTTTTAGAATTTTTATTATTATGTGGGATTGGGAATTACAAATTTCAGAATCAAGACAATTTTAAACGACCATATAACTTTTTATTAAGCGAGCAATACACAGTCATGTCTGAGGTTTGTTACAGGGGCTGCTTCCCCTCACTGATAAGTTTTAAAGGAACCATGGGAGACAAAAAAAAAAGGCAATTTGTTCAGTATCATTCATTCCAGCAACAATATTCTGAAACAGTTAGTAACCTCAGACATGGTTTCACAAACTCAGATTTCTTATCGCTTGGATATTCATGATTTCATACTGTTGAATAATCATTGTTCACGTGAACAGGCAAATAAAAGGAGCACAGAATTTAGTTCAGGATTCTACATGCCAAGTCACGAGAGAGGGGAAAGAGTCCCGAAGAGCCTGTGGTAAAGAGGAAAGTGCCAGCCAATGATAACATGACATCCAGGCAGCGGAAGGGGAGCCTGGGTGACACTGAGGAAATCCTCATTTTGTGTTGTAGATTGCTGATCTCATCAATCAATCAATCCATTTTTGATACACACAGCATGTGTTTGCTTGTAATCATTTCTGTTTATAGAAAAATATTTGTGGAAAATATGAAATAGTTTGAAAATTTAGACAACTTAATACTGAACCCATTTTAGTGTGGAGGAGTTGAATGGAATTGTTTAGCACTCAAAGTGAGTGGTCCAAATATATTACTTTGTTAAATTTTTGCACTGTGTCAATGATAAAAATTTCTTTCAATTTCTAGGTAATTTTCTTTATATGAAAGATTTGTAAAAAGACTTTTAAAATAACTTTAATAACAATATGACTGAGAAGCCATTTATATATTTAAGTATTCCATATATTTATTTCCCTAATTATCATATAAGCATAAATTCTATTTCCCTAGTAATACAAAGAATAGATTAAGCTAAAGAAAACATAATCCAACATTCATTTCAGGAGGAGAATTTAATAAGCATGCTCCATTTCTTACTCTACCATTGAGCATAATGGGTCCCTGATTAGGGAAATAATAGAACTAAGTAGTGATTAACATTTTTTTAACTTAAGGATGCCAACATAGGGTTGCTAGATCAATCTTTTTTAAAAAAATAAGACTTTAATTTTTAGATTAGTTTTATATTCACAGCAAAATTGAGCCAAAGGTACAGACATTTCCAATAAACTCTCTGCCCCCACGCATGCATAACCTCCCCCATTATCAACGACCTCCACCTGAGTGATACAATTTCCACAAGTGATGAAGCTTTGCTGCTATGTCATAATCACCCAAAGCTCACAGTTTACATTAGTCACTCTTGCTGTTGTATATCACATGGGTTTGAATAAATGTAATGTACAATGTGATGAATCCATCATTATGGTATTATACAGTGTACCTTCATTGCTCTAAAAACTCTCTGTGCACCACCCATTCACCTCTCCTTCTACCCTAACTCCTGGCAACTGCTGTTGTTTCGATCATCACCAGTGTTTTGCCTTTTCCAGAATGTCACATAGTTGGAATGATACACTCTAAAGCCTTTAAAGATTGGTTTGCAATGTTTGAATATGCATTTAATGTCCTCCATGTCTTTTCATGGCTTAATATCTTGATTAAGCAAGCATTTCCCGGTCACCTCATTGGTATTTAATATCCCATAACACTGAGGTAAAACAAAAAAATCCTTTAGATATCTTGAAAATAAATGAAAACTGTTTTTTAAGAACAAATGGTGTTGCAAAAATCATTAGCAGTAAGACTGAAACTAAAATGGAATATAAAGATGATAATGTGGAATACTTTGAAATAAACTTAAGGAGGTAAAAGTCTTATATTGAAAACTATAAAACACTGATGAAAGAAATTAAAGGAGACACAAATAAATGGAAAGACATCTGTGTTCATGGATTGGAATACTTAGTAACATTTAAAATGTCCATAGTACCCAAATCAATATACAATAATGCATCCCTATCAAAATCCCAGTAGCATCTATTTCATTTTTTCCATCACCATTTATCCCCTTTATGTCCTCTGCCTCTCCCCCCACAGTCACCACTCTGTCGCCCATGTCCACGAGTTCTCTTTTTTTTTCTTTTTTGCTCCATCCCTCCACTCCCACCCACCAGAGCTGTGTGCCTGCTCTCTATCTAGGAGTCTGTCTCTACTTTGCTTGTTAGTTTAGTTTGTTCATTAGATTCCACATATGAGTGAAATCATATGTACTTGTCTTTCTCTGACTTATTTCACTTAGCATAATGTGTCCAGGTCCATCCATGCTGTCCCAAAGGCTGAGATTTCCATTTTTATGGCCGAGTAGTATTCCACTGTGTAACTATACCAGCTTTTTTATCCACTCATCTACTTATGGACACTTGGGCTGCTTCCAAATCTTGGCTATTGTAAATAACACTGCAACAAACATAGGGGTACAAGTATATTCTTTTGAATTAGTGTTTTGGGTTTTTTCAGATAAATTCCCAGAATTGGAATCTCTGGGTCACAAAGCAGTTCCATTTTTAATTTTTTGAGGTAACCCCAACACTGTTTTCCACAGTGGCTGCACTAGTCTGCATTCCCACCAACAGTGCACAAGTTTCCCTTTTCTCCACACCCTCGCCGGCACTTGTTGCTTGTTGATTTGTTGATGGAGCCATTCTAGCAGGTGTGAGGTGATAGCTCGTTGTGGTTTTGATTTGCATCTCTCTGATGATTAGTAACACTGAGCATATTTTCGTGTCTATTGGGTTGTCATCTGTATGTCCTCTTTGGAGAGGACCTTTGCCTATTTTATAATTGGCTTGTTTGTTTTTTTGGTATTGAGTTTTATAAGTTCTTTATACATTTTAGATATTAACCCCTTATCATATATATTATTGGCGTACATGTTCTCCCATTCATTTGGTTGTCTTTTCATTTTGTTGATGGTTTCCCTTGCTATGCAAAAACTTTTTAGTTTGATGCAGTCCCATTTCTCCTGTTTCCCTTGCCCAAGGAGATATATAAGAAAAAAAACTATTGCTATGAGAAATGTCNAGTTTGATGCAGTCCCATTTGTTTATTTTTTCTCCTGTTTCCCTTGCCCAAGGAGATATATAAGAAAAAAAACTATTGCTATGAGAAATGTCCAAGATTTTACTTCCTATGTTTTCCTCTAGGATTTTTATGTTTTTGAGTCTAACATTTAAGTCTTTAATCCATTTTGAGTTTATTCTCATGTGCAATGTAAGAAGGTGGCCTAGTTTCCTTTTTTTTTTTGCATGTATCTGCCCAATTTTCCCAGCACCATTTAATGAATAGACATTACATGTTTTTGCCTCCTTTGTCAAATATTAATTGACTATGAAGGCATGGATTTAGTTCTGGGCTCTCTATTCTGTTCCATTGGTCTATATGTCTGTTTTTATGCCAGTACCAGTCTGTTTTGATTACTGTGGCCTTGTAGTATAGTTTGATGTCACGTATTTTTACAGAAATAGAAAAAAATAATCCTAATATCCATACGGAACCCCCAAATAGCCAAAACAATCTTGAGAAAGAAGAGCAAAACTGGAGGCATCGCACTTCCTGATTTCAAATTAAAATAGACATAGACAAATGGAACACAATAGAGCGCTCAGAAATAATCACAGGAGTATTTGATCAACTGATCTGTGACAAGATTGCCAAAAATACACAAGGAGGAAAGGATAGGCTCTTACGGAATGGTGTTGGAAAAACTGGACATCCACATGTGCTCTTACCATGTTCCTCCTTCTCCATAAAAGATTGAGAATGTGGATGATCAGTTGCTAATGCTCAATATTTAATTAGGTTAGGTAGTTGGGGTTGGTGACTAAATAAAAGTCCCATCATTATCTCCAATTTCCAGTTGTGATTTCAGAGATGTATATTTTAAACCTTGGATAATTGAAGGTATAAAATTAGTTCCAGTTCTCAAGAATTATTGGCTGCAAACTTGGCTTCATGTCTACTTAACTGTATGAACGCGGCAGGCAAGTAATTAACTTATATAGGCTTCAGTTCCACTATTTGGGAAGTGTGGGCAACATTGACTAATTCATAGTGTTACAGGAGCTTATCACAGTGTCTGACATGCAGTAAATTCTCAGTGCAAAAGTAAAAGTAGCCCTGGCTTAGTTGGTTGGAATATCATCCCATATGCCAAGAAGATGCAGGTTCAATTCCTGGTCAGGGCACAAACCTAGGTTGCAGGTTTGATTCCTGAATGGGAAGAAACTGATTGATATCTCTCTCTCTCTCACTCTCTCTATATACATACACACACATATATATATTTATGTATATATATATACACACACACAAGTAACTATGTATATATGTATATATATATCCCTTCATTTCTCTAAAAATGAATAAAACCATATCAAGTAAGGATTAAAAAAAATAAAGTGAAGGTAGCTTTCAATGATGCTGTCGCTGGTATGTGTCCACCACGGTTTGAGGAAAGGATTCTTTCATTTTCCCCTTCCTCCCTCTCTCTTTTTTTAGTGTTTTAAAAATTCTAACCTGTCTGCTATTTCTGGCAAAGCTCCTAGGTAATTGCACCTTTCTTCTGGGTGTTATTTGCCAAGCAGGTGTAAAAGCGCAATGCAATATCGTTTAGTAGAAACCTAATTTTAGGTACTGGATTTGCACTGCTCTCTGTGCGAGCAGGTCCAGCGCTGTACTCGCCCAGCCGTCAAGCCGTGCGACGGAACCCAGGCTGGCAGAGACTACGGCCGGGAAGTGCCAAAGGAGTGAAGTTCCTAACGTCTCACATTTGAGTTAATTTGAGTCTGTTTCCTACGGAAAAGTTTAGATCAGAAGGAATACGTAAATGTGTTCTTACAGTTGTTGGGCAGGGTAAGATCTTCCTCTGCCTCGTTCAGAGCAGATGCAAAAGCCGCTGAGCCATATGAAGCAGAAGGTCTAACGACCATCTGGAGAATGTAACAGGGCGAAGAGCGTGCGGTGCTTTTATTAAAGACTGCGGAGAATCCATCTGATCTGTCCCATCCTTATCATCTGTAAGGTTTTTATAGATAATATTTCCCCTAAAATAAGAATAAAATTATTAAAGATTGTAAATATTGCCAAAAAATGGTATTTTTAAGAAAATCATAAAAATCCCTGCCAAAGTGCTACTTATAAACATCAAAGGAATTTAAAAAAACAAAACATCTTTTATACTGAATTGTATTTTCTTAGGAAGTGTATCTGGATCCCTGGCCCCCACCCCAAGAATGTTTTGAAGTTTCCAAGGAAAATTCCCAAGATCAACTGACTGGCTTAGAGGTGAAGGGGGAGGAGTAAGTAAAAGAATTTAGGGTGTGGGGAGAAAGGACCATTTTGAAAAGAAAGAAATGGAAAAAATAAATGATTTTTAAAAAGCGTTTATTGTAAGCAGTGCTTGTGCGACAGGCACTTGAGCGCTGACGTCATGGACTGTTTCCTTACCATGGTTGTAGGTCATATTCCTTGGCCTTTTGGTCGCTTTCTATATCAGATTCCCTAACGCCAGCCAGACATGCTCCTGGGTGCTCTATTTGTGTGCACTCGCTAATTCCCTTACACAGTGATGCTAAGCTGGCGGTCCGGTTATTAACCCCATTTTACAGATAAGAAAACAGTGACAAGAGTTTCAGTTGCTCAGGTCACACAACTAGGAAGCAATAGAGACAGAATATGCTGAATCCAGCCAAGATGAGCTCAGAACTTATGTTATCACCTCTTATGCTTGACCTTTGCCTGGGGAAGAAGCCTTTAGACAAGATGCCTCCATTTCTTGGGCTTCTTCTACCTTATTCAAAAATTGCAGTGGGTGGTGTGACATGAACTCAAGGCTGGTGTGTTCCAGGAGTCTGGAAAACATTGGCGTGGTCCAAGGAGCATGCAAAAAAATGATGAGCTTTCAGAACACACAACTGATGACGAAAAACAAAGATAATTAGAATGCTTGAGCCTTTGAGAAGGGGAGGCGTTCTGTAATTGTGTTCTAGTGTGTTCATGGAAGAAGAGTCGTTGTCGTCATTGGAGACAATGGAGCCCTTCTTCACTTTATTTCTCCAGAGGAGATTTTTGTGTTTCAGCAAGAAAAAATATTTTTGCCTAAAGCTTGTGACATTTTCAGACTTGTGATGGAAACTGTATACAGTATCATCATTTTCTTGCAAAGTTATCAGGGTAGGAAGAAAATCATGACTATGCTGTTTACTATCCATAAAAACTTAGCTGAGACTTTAAATTTCATTGAGCCTTGTTTTCTCATCTGCACAGGGCGGGGGAGGCAGTGGTGCATACTTATAAGGCTGATGAGTGTACGGGATGAGTTATGCCTACAGGGGCACTTAGCTTCTCTCCAGCATCTGCTTACTGCTTAACACACTTCGAAGAGCATTCTTCCGATTACTGTTATGACTCTTATCCCCTGGGTCAACGGTGAATCTTTTGACATGCGTGTTGGTCTTCTAATTTGCATGTATTCAAGCCTGGCCAAATCTATCCAGATATCTTTTGTTTAAAACAAAGATGGAAACAGAAATAGTAAAAGTGTTTTGTGATGTGAGTTCACATTGGCCATCCACATTTGAATTTTATATCAGTTGTGACTGTTAATTGAGAATGACTCTATTTCAATGTTAGGAATTCCATAGGAAGCCTGTGCAATCTAATTTTGCGATGAAGTTTTACACTAAGCACAACACATACTTGCACATTTTATGACAGCCATTTAAGTTGAAACACAAGTAAGGAAAGATGGCTTTATCTGATCTTTGGGTTGAGAGAGAATGCTATATTTATTACCCAGTTAGAATTATTGAAAATATTTCCAAACCATCTCCTATCCTGTGCATCAATGGCCCCATGTAAACCAAATAAGCAACCAAATAATTACATAGACGTGCTACTAGCCTCTGCTTCATTCTCACTAGCTAAGGAAATATTTGAAAAGTTCAGGTTAACAGCATGAGCTGAGAGTTAAATATGTAATATTTTGAATGACTTCTGCTAAACTTATTTCCAATATTTTAAATAATTAAATATATGAGTAGTATTTTCTCCTGAATTAAGTTGCTACAGATACAATTTTAACTTATTTTTTTCCTCTTTGCCATAAGAGACATAGGAAGGTAAAATCCAGGTATGTTTTTTTCCCCAAAACAAGATTTAATTTTCCTGGCCAGTGTGGCTCAGCTGTTGAGCATCGACCTATGAACCAGGAGGTCAGGGTTTGATTCTGGTTTCAGGATCTATCCCTAGCAGGAGGCATGAAGGAGGCAGTCGGCCAATGACTTTCTCTCATCATTGATGTTTCTATCTCTCTCTCCCTCTCCCTTCCTCTCTCTGAAATCAATAAAAACATATTTTTAAAAAAGATTTAATTTGCATGGACAATGCAAGTCTGTCTACTGTAGCTTGGGACTTTGGTTTTTGTAGGGTTTTTTCCCTTTCTCTCTTTTTTAACCCTCACCCGAGAATATGTTCATTGATTTTTTAGAGACAAAGGAAGGGGAAGAGGGAGAGACAGAGAAGGGAGACAGAGAGAGAGAGAGGTGTGTCAGAGAGAAACTGATCAGTTGCTTGGGGTGGTTTTTATACTTTTGATTAAAGATTAACACTCTTTAAGATTCAAAATAGTTGTTTGCATAACTTGAATTTTGTTTGTTTGCTTGTTTGGGCAAATACTGAGCTTAAACAAACTGGGTTTATATAGTATATCCCACCACAGTGTAAAGTCTGTGAAGACAGGAATTTTGTCAAGCTCTTCACAGTACCTGGAACAGCACCAACATGTAATAGGTATGCAGTCCTTACCTGTTGAATGAGTAAGTCAGGGTATCTCAACGTTGGCACTACTAATATTTCCTGGATGATTCTTTGCCGTGGGCAGCTGCCCCCCGCGTTGCTGGATGTTGAGCAGCATCCTTGGCCTCCTCTCTAGATGCCAGTAGGTGCCAGTGCACCAGGCCAAGCTGTGACAATTAGAAATGTCTCCAAACATTGCCAAATGACTCCTGGGGAAGGGAAGGGCCCTAATCGCCCTGTATTAAGAACCACTGCAGTAAATGAGTGGATTGCCTTGGCAGGTAGAAGGAAGTCTTCACAACTGTAAGCTCCTGGCCAGAAAAAAAAAAAAAAAATTTGAGGTCTGGGGAGAAACAAGATGGCGGCGTGGGTAACCACGGACCTGCCGCCTCCCGCAACCACATCAAAATTACAGCTAAAATACAGAACCACCATCACTCAGAGCCTCCTGAAATCTGGCTGAACAGAAGCCCTACAACCAGGGAACTGAAGCAGCACCGAAAGCAGGAGGAGAGGTGGATATGCGGGTGGATCGGCGCTGGATCCAGGAGACAAGGCCGCGGGCCCATACCCGGTGCCTCGGGAGGGACATCTGGGCAACGGAGGTTTCCCGGGTGAGTGAGGGGTCCCAGCCCCACAGCAGGCCCTCAGCCCAGGGCTCCAAGGCCGGGAAGAGACGTCCCCACAACTCCGGGCTGTGAAACCAGCGGGGACTGTCCCTGAGGGTCCGGAGGCTGCAGGAGCCCCAGCAGCTCCTCTTAAAGGCCCGGCACGGACTCGCTCGGACGCTCCCTCGGAGCCCAGCGCCGGGCAGCAGCCTGAAAGGACCTGGGACACTCCGAGAGGAACTAACCTGCCTGAAGTTGGGGCGAGAGGTGGAGGGGCGGCTTCCTCCC